CCCCCCCCCCACAAAAAAGCATAAAAACGAAACAAAACAACCCTTCCCCATTAAACAAATAATTAAACTTCATTCTTTACTTTCAGGAAGATCAACTATAAAACAAAAAACAACCCCCCCCCAAAAAAAACAACAAAAACAAAACAAAAAAACAACAAAAAACAATACTACTCCCAGCACGACAAATACATGTACAATGAAGAATATTGCAGTTTTTTGGGTTTTTTTTTTTATAGTAGAGGGTTTTAGTTGCGAGCGTCGTAAAACCCTTTACTATAAAAAAAATAAAATAAAAAGAATATTGCAGTCGTCACTAGGTTACAGGTGTCTAAGACAGGGCAATCTGTGCCACTACTGTTTACTTTAGCGTAGACAAAATCTAGGAAGCATATTATAAATAAAAGTTTCCCCATTTTGTTTCGAAATTCTATATATTTATTGTTTGTTTATATTTTCTTAATAAATAAAAACAAACAAATAAAAACTAGCAATAAATATAATATAATTTGAAACAAAATGGGGAATTTTTTTTCTTCTTCTAGTGTCTCTGAAAGCACACAATCGGTGACGTTACTGTTCACTCAAGCGTGACTGAAAAGTAGAAAGCAGATTAGTTAGTTTTAGTAGAAGTTTTACGGCGCTCGCAACTGCATAAGGTCATATGAGCGCCAGAAGATTAGAGGTGTTACAAGAGAGTAACAAACATAAAAAAAGAAGGAGGGGAGATAAGGACGATAGATATTTGATAGGAAAGAAGAAGCAAACCACACCAGAGCACCCGCCAACCACCCACAGAAAGCAGATTGTAAAATTAAAAGGCATAACATAATAGTAATATAATTTTTATAAAAAGAAAGAAATATTACTTCTAGTTCTAGTGTCTAAGAGAGCACACAATACACGACGCTACTGTTCACTCAAGCGTGACAAAAATTAAGAAGCATAATATTATTATACTCAAAATGCCAAATAAAACGGACTTGAAATAAAGAATAAATCTAAAATCTAAGCTTTAGCGGTCTACCAGCTACCCAGAGTTAATTTGTGTGTTCTACACATGCATGACTCAACTCACCATGACCTGGAGAAAGCATAAAAGAAAATGTGAAATGGTATTATTCTTTAAAAAATATTATTATAATTTA